AATTTATAAATAAAAAGTTACATTAATTTAAAGTTTTGTATTTAGCGGTTGCATTACTTTTGTGAGCCACTGTATATTTAGATTATTTATTTAATCATATCTAGGTTATTTTATTACTAAATAACCTAATCTAAGCCATTTATGACTAAATAATATAATTATATTATTTAGTCATAAACAGTTAAACTTAATTATTATTAATATTAATATAAAAAAATTTTTTCAATTAATCTAATGATATGGAAGGGTTTCTAGGAAAATCAGGTTCCGAGAAATTTTTTACTTAAATTAAGAGCTTAATACATTTTAATCAAAAACTAAAATGCAATAAAAATCCGGAACCTGATTTTCCTAGCAATCAACCCATATATTAAATTGATATATTAAAAATTAATTAAATATATTTATTAAATATTTCATATACTGTAAATAAATTTTTATTAATAATTGTATTAATAATATTTGATATTAATAATCTAAAAAAAAAAACAGATAAAGATGATCATTTGTAATAATATATATTACTACTTAAACTTAATATTGAACAATGCACGCGTCATAAGAGTGAGGATTTCTCACATCGATTATCATACAACTTTAATTAGAGTAGTCTCATCTTGTCACACAATTTTCACGAAAAAAACTATACTAAATAGTAACAAACATTGTCCGAAAGTTCCCGACTGCATTAGATATAAAATCTTTTTTTTCTTTTTTCTTTTTTTTTTTACCCTTGACCCAATTTTTTTCGTCTTGTACTTTCAGTTTAACCATGTCTTACAATTCTGTTCCTGGTGTTACTGTTCTCGCCCCAGTGAGCGAACCCCAAGCTCAAATACTTACTGCAGAAGCTTTGGAGTTCCTTGCAAAGCTTCAGAGAGCTTTTAACCCTACTAGAAAGTCATTACTTCAGCGTCGTATTCTTCGCCAACAAGAATTAGACCGTGGCATTCTTCCTGATTTTTTACCACAAACGGCTTATATTAGAGAAGATAATAACTGGCGTGGGGCTTATCCTGCTCCCGGTTTGATTGATAGACGCGTTGAGATTACTGGTCCAGTTGACAGAAAAATGGTTATTAATGCTTTGAATTGTGGTGCTTATACTTATATGGCTGACTTTGAAGGTAATTATTCGCCTCTTTTATGATATTTTTCAATGTATCAAGCATTGATAAAAGATGAAAAATTTTAACCAATAATATTAGAAGTATTTACTAATTTGATATTTTAAACCTTTTCATTCATTGTATAGATTCCAATGCCCCGACATGGGACAACAACCTTGATGGGCAAGTAAACTTGCGCGATGCCATCCGAGGAACCATTACTTATACTAATCCTGGAAATAATAAAAAATATGCATTACGCAAAGATAATAAAATTGCCACATTGATAGTCCGGTAAATTTACTTTATATTTCTTTTTTTTTTTATTTTGAGCAGAATAAAATAATATTGAATTATAAAAAAATCTGACAGCCCCCGTGGATGGCACTTGGAAGAAAAGCACGTTTTAGTTGATGGAGAACCTGTTTCCGCATCGATCTTTGATTTTGCTTTGTATTTCTTCCACAACGCCAAAAAATCTATTGAAGTTGGTATTGGGCCTTATTTCTATTTGCCAAAGATGGAATCTCATTTAGAGGCAAGGTAGAGTAGTTATTAATAAGGTCGTCTTAACTTTTTTTCTAAAATTTTTATATTTAATTCTTTTTTTTTATATTGCTTTAAGGCTTTGGAATGACGTATTCTGTGTCGCTCAAGATCTTATTGGCATCCCTCGTGGTTCTATCCGTGCTACCGTTTTGATAGAAACCATCCTTGCCGCATTTGAGATGGATGAAATCATTTACGAACTTCGTGAACATTCATCTGGTCTTAATTGTGGTCGATGGGATTATATCTTCTCTGTAATTAAAAAATTCCGTAATAATCCTAACTTTGTTCTTCCAGATCGTGGTGATGTAACCATGACAGTTCCATTTATGGATTCTTATGTACGCTTATTAATTAAAACATGCCATCGACGTGGTGTGCATGCTATGGGTGGTATGGCGGCTCAAATTCCGATCAAGAATGATCCAAAGGCAAATCAAGCTGCATTGGATAAAGTTCGAGCTGATAAATTACGTGAAGTTAAAGCTGGACATGATGGTACTTGGGTTGCACATCCGGATCTTGTTAAGATTGCCTTGGAAGTTTTTAATGAAAATTTAAAAACTCCAAATCAAATTTATATAAGACGTGAAGATGTGAATATAAGTGCATTAGATTTAATGAATACGAATGTACCAGGAGCTATTACTGAAAATGGTATCCGTAGTAATATATCAGTTGGATTAACTTATATTGAATCGTGGTTGCGTGGACTTGGATGTGTACCAATTCATAATCTTATGGAAGATGCAGCCACGGCAGAAATCTCCCGTTCGCAATTATGGCAATGGGCTCATCATGGATCTCGCACTTCTGACGGTAAAACTGTTACAGGCGCATATTTACTTAAATTACTTGATGATGAAGTTGCAAAATTAGAAAAACAATTAGGTCCACAACAATTTGGTGCTAGTAAATACCCATTAGCTAAAAGATATTTAGCTAGTCAAATTACTGGAAAAGATTATTCTGATTTTATTACTACCTTATTATATGATGAAATTACAAGTGTTCATAATAAGGCTAAACTTTAATGAATTTTAGTTGCTTTAAAATTGGGTTGTTAATGATAAAAGCGAACATTAGTATATATTTATTTTTGTTTGAATAATTATTATATTTGAATTTTATCATATTTCAATGTATATTAATAAATATACTTTATAATAAAGCATGAACCATTTTTTTATTTTAAGATAATTATAAACAAATAATAAATAAATAAATATATATATTTTACAAAATAATAATAAAAAAAAAAAAGAAAAAAAAAAAGTATGTACTGAAAATATTATATGTACGCAAATTTAATTATATAAAATTAAGCTATTTGTTACTATTTGTGTATTATTTATGGTTTTCACAATTTGTTTACAAGAAAAGATAAAACTTGTTTTTTTTGAGAATTTTGTAATTTACTAAGAATTTTAATTTTAATTGGTATAATAATAATATATGTATTTATGTAATGTATATATATATATGTTTTTTTTTTTAAAAAAAAAAAAAAAAAAAATCACAGACAACTTCCTATTTTTTTTTTTTTTTTTTTTTTTTTTTTTTTTTTTTCTTATTTTGAAGAAATGAATTTATAATGCCTAATTAATTTTTTTTAAAAAAAAAAAAAAAAAAGAAAAGAAAAGATAATATGTGAAGTGAAGTAAGTGAATTAATTAAAGGTAAATATAATAATGAAAGAAAAAAAGAGAGATTCACTTTTTTCCTTCCAGTTAAACGTTATCTAATTTGTAGTATAAATATTTTGTGAATAATATGATAAATAAAGTAATAAAGAAATGGAATAAACTGCCAATGAACAATAAAAAAAGAAAACTAATAAATTAACAATAAATTCAGGATTTACGATTGTTATTCCTAAATACGTATCCATATGTTAGATATGGCATACCGTTGAGTTACCTTACCCAAAATTAAAGTCTATGGACAATCGACTTCGATTTCTTCTTATAAGCGATCATATGATAACATATTTTTATTTTCATTTATCATTTTTCAATCATCCTTCTTTTTTTTTTTAGCTAACATAAAGGTTAACAAAATTTCCTCCAGCAGCTAGCCTTACTTCAAATGCCATTAAAACATCTTCATCTGAATTAATTGTAATGTGATCTCCATCTTCATCTTGATACTTAATACGTAGGGGAATACTTTCGTCACGCCTTGTAGTACACAAACGTATCTTACGTTCTACACGATCACATAATTCTTTATATTCAATTTCTTTAGGAACAACGATCACAAAAATGTCTTCAGCATAATTTACTTTAATTTTCATTGTTGTGTGGCTATACTTCGAATATTGATTACCATTTTCTACTCCATTGGTAGGTGATGATAAAGCACTATTCGAAATCGGAATATTAGTATTAATACCATTTGTATTAGATGTCTGTGATGAAGTACTTGATCCGCTGTGTCGCAGATGTGATTCCGATTGAACCCCGTTACTCATTGCTATATTGTCATTAGGAAGATCAGGAAAAGGTTCCATATTTTCCCATTGATCTTCTTGAATCGCATGTATATTTGAATTACTTGCAGATCGTAAACGGTTTGAACTAGGTGCTGAGGTTTGTTGCAAAACTGGAGTAGGTCCAACAGATGCACGTTGCAACGGTGGAACAGGATATTCGTCATCATTTCCCATCATAACTTTGGCTACTGTGTCTGCAAGAACGTTAGTAGATTGCTGTTGCTCGACACTTTTTCTTTGCCAAATATTAGAATGCGAAGTTGTACTAGCACTACTACGAGCAGATGGAGCTGGAGAACCCGGATAAGAAGGTGGAGGAGAATGAGGAGAATGAGGAGAATTTGGAAAATAACTTGATTCTCCTTGATGATGTATGACACTGGATGGAAACGTTGCCATTGTAGGTGGAGCGGTCGTAGACCCATTACGTGTCATGGACAAATTTGTATGAGTTCGATATTGAGGTAGATTATTTGGGTTGCCTGGTAATGGAGGAGAACCAGGGTTCAAGTTATAAGGTGGAGGTGCCGTCCCATCATCTGTTTTTGATCTCGTTCTTCCATTAGAAGATGTAGGCAATTGTCCATAGGGTAACGATTGACTTTTAATTTTATTATTATTATTCCCCCAATCGTCCTCCTCTTCCTCTTCATAATTTTCTTCATCCTCTTCATCATCAATAAATGATGCAGCATCATCATCACGACGAGAATACAAAGGAAGATCAAGGTTCGCTAATGATGCTAATTGAGTGTTGGAAACTTGAGTTCGTTTGGTCGGTGTTGTTAACTCATCCTTTGAATTTGAGCTATTATAATTTTGGCTTTTTGAATCTTCAAGCAATTTTTGCAACGTGGATTGCCATTGTTTAAGTTGCTCTTCATTACGACATTTGAGTGAGAAAGATTCCATTTCTGTATCTCCTTTCCAAAATACCTTCAAAGACCACGCTAGTTTGAACGAAATAATTTAGTTAATATATAATATTTAAGGAACGAAAGAGATAATGTGACTTACATCCAGGTTGAGGTTGACTATTGTCTAAAAGAGCTGTTATATTGTGTATAAAAATTCTCCCTTTAAGCTGTAAACTAGTTCTTTTTTGTTTTCTGGAATTACTCTTAATAAGTGGAGTAGATTTACTTTGGAGCCTTCTAGCATTATTTTCTTTACAACAAAGTAAGATTCTTTGAAACAAATATACGTGATATTCACGTTCGGAATCTTCCTTTGACATGATAAACACATCTTCAAGTAATAAACTACCAAATTGAGCAATTTTATGCCCTTTCCAATCCTCAACTCTACGTTCTAAATCTCTAACGATAGCTTCGTTTTCTTGTTTTCGTCGTGTTTCATTAACACGATCGGCTACACGTTTAATAGCCTTAAGGCCTAGCTCAATTTCATCATAAAATGGTGTTTCATCTTTTTCAGAGAATTTTAATAATTCCTAAAAAAATTGATTTTGATAAATAAATTTTAATAATAAAATTATTTTATGAACTTTAATATAGTTTACCTGTAATAATAATGGATATTTACAAATGCGCTGGATGGGTTTAATTAATAACGATGGTAATTCGTATGTTGGTTCTACTATCTTAGCCAAACGCTTTTTTTTTTTTTTTAAAAAAAAAAAAATCGAATAATTTGATTAAAAATAATTAAAAATTAAAAAAAGACAAATTTTTTTTTTTTTTACCTGCAAATTAGGCGTTTCTTGGATAACCAATTCTGAAGCAGATTGATAATTTGCACAAAATGGTTCGTATACAGCAAAATTATCCTCCTATGTAATTATAATCATAACATATATTTTGGTTTATTTAGAAATTAAATATTTTAATTATCAATTAATGTTTCAACAAACCATTTGTATAAAAAGATTTCCAAATCTTTGATCTGCTGGTGGTTGACTGGCATTAGCTTCTACACCGATAAGGAAACGACGTTGAAAATCTACAAGATGATTAAGGTTTGCAAAGAGCAAATGAATAGTATCTGCGCTTACAATCTCTTGTATTTGAAGTTCACGCGCAAATTTCTAAAATCGCAAAATAGCAAAAAAAAAAGACAGAAGAGGAATAATAAATAATAAATCAATATAAATTGAATCGAAGTTTTTAATTATCTTACCTGTAAAACTTCCATATCTTGTACATATTTTCTTTCTGTTTCTAATAATTCATGTACGACCCTTGCACGGTTATCTGTGGGTTTCATGGGATCCGAATTTCGTAAAAGTTGTCTACGAGACAAATTGAGAAGACCTTTCTCTTCAATTTTGTCTGTGACAAGTTTGACAGTACCAATTACCTAAAAAAAATATACGTAAATAAAGCTATTAATTAATTTCTTAATTATAACCTTATATAAAAATATTTTCCTTCAAAAATTAAAGTAATAAATAAATGACATACATTGACGAAGCCATTCGTATCGTCTTGATACAATTGTGTAATTGTAAAGAGTTGTTCAGACTTAAACTGTAATTCCTTCATGCAAGCTGCCAAAAATTTATACACGCTATCTTTAGGCTTAGTCTCTATTGTTATTTTCAATTCTGTTTGAGGTTTCAAAGCATTGTAAAGAGCGCAAAGAGGATAACCTAACCGAAAAGTTTGCCATAAAAGAGTAATAGGATCATTCCGAGCTATACTATTCGGACCATTTTCCGAGGTAGGAGTACCTACTATTGAAGAATTATTTGAAACATTGTTTTGTCCTTGTGTTAGGTATTGTTCAAACCCTTCCACACAGTAAAGTCGTTCTAGCAAGTCTATACATAGAGGATACAATGATTGTGAAGCTTGTGCAGGTCGATTGAGAGTGTTTGAACCCGTTGGGCTTGGTGATTCTATTGAAGAAATAGAAAGGTTGCCGAAACTAGGCATGGTTCCTAAACTTGGTGTACGCTTAAGTGCACCTCTATTCATGGTTGAGTTGAAATTCAACTTCAATCGAGCCACTAAACACTATTTAAATAACAAGTAAAAAATATTCTATTTTATTTTTTTTTTTTTTTGTTTGAATAGGCGTTTTTACAAGATTTTTGTTTGTTCAGCAATACTCTAAAGTCTTTAACCTTTTTAGGAATAACTTGAGATGATGTGGAAGTCGTCTCGCCCAGCGAGCGTTATTAATTTCCTTGAGCGGTCTCGTAAAAACTTTTTTTTTTGATTGAGGAAATAATATCTATAATTTGTTTGAAGTGTTTTTTTTTTGTGTTCATTCAATTAAATGGAAATAATAAATATATGCTTGAAGTAATTGGTTTGGGAATTAACCATTGAGTGCTTGCATCGATTTTTATAAACGTTGTAAATTTCCTTATATGATTACGCAATATCTTACACAATATGAATATGAATGTTTCTGTTTCAGACCAGAATACACTAACACGTGTTTTAACAAACAACAAAAGTAAATTCTTTAGAATTTTACTATTTATATTATTCAATTCTAATCCAAATTTCTATATATACAGTATGTTTAATAAACAATAAAAAGAACAAAAAGAGCTTTACTATTTATCAC